GGAGCAGGTCACAACCAGCCGCCATTCCTTGCCCACCCCCTGGACGCAGCCGCACTGAAAGGGCAGGAGGAACAGCCCGCCACATCAGCCAGGGGTGACTGACTGCGGTGCCTCTGGTCCCCGCCGCTCCGTGCGATAGCAGGGCTGCCGGGCCACTGCTGGAGGGAGAGAGCAGTGAGGCCCAGTCCTCCACAAAGAGCATCTGTGGCCGGCCCCCAGGAAGCCCTGCGGGCAGGCTCCCCGCCTGGGCTCCCCTCACTTGGCCCCACTTGCATTTCCGTCCCGGGGACTCAGCCAGAGGATGTGCTGCGACAGCGAGGGGTGGGTCCGTGGGCTGTGCTCGGCCGGGGTTCCCAGGTTCCCTTTCCTGGGCTTAGCGTGCTTTCCCACCGTCCTCTCCCATCTGAGCGGATGAAGGTGGACTTCCTACCGAGTGCTCTGCTCGGCGTCAGGGGTGGACTGCTTGAAGTAGAAGGTCTAATAACCTGCGAGGAGGAGGGGTTTTCTACTAGCTAAGCCTAATTTTAGCAGCCCTTTCTATTTCTCAGATGCCTGCTGTGGTTTTTGTTTTTTTTAAGGCTTGTATGTAGGTCAGACTCTGCCCATTCTGTGCTTTGATACTGCTGTTTGGAAGTCATGTCTCTTGCTCCCTTCCCTTCTCTTCCTCTCTGCTGGGGAAGGAAACGCCAGGATTTTTTAAGAGAAAGTGCACACAGACCTGTCATTCTGTGGTGAGATGTGCCTCTGTACATTGCAGGTGGCGGGCCAGTCGTTTCGGCGTCGGCAAGGAAGGGCGGGGACACTACCGGCACGGTTGTCCATGTAGAGGAGCCCGGCCCGTGTCCGCCACCGCCAAGCACGGGCTGTGCCCTCTCCCCACCAGGCTTGACCGCTACTGCCTTTAAGATCTGCCCCTTAGGAGTCAGCTTTCCCAGAGCGGGCAGAGTGGAGTCCAGAGAACGAGGGTGGGCCTCAAGGTCAGGTGGGCTGCCTGACTCCCAGCTCGGTTGGTTCCTGGAGCTTTGGCAGAATCACGGGCCCTCCCCGAGGCTCGGGTTTCGTACGCAGCACTGGGCCTGCACTGTCACCTTCCTGTCAGGTTCTGTGAGACCGTTGTCACCGTGCCTGGCGGTGGCCGAGCCTTACTCAGAGCTGTTCCATCCTTTCCCCACCTGCCCTTTCATTCTGCTGCCCTGGGTGCCCAGGCATGCCCATCCATGTAGGGTGACGGCAGCAGCCCCCGGGTGGCACAGGGACGCGGCCTGCTCTTGGGTTCTCCTCGCTTTCCTGAGAACAAGGCCCCTGAAGCAGAGGCACAGTGCCGGCCCTCCAGGCCTTTTTGCTGTGACCTCTCCCAGAGAGCCTTCACGGCCAGTGTCCTCATCGCAGTGGCTTATGACCCTGTCTGTGACAGTGGGACAGTGAAACTGTTTCCAGGAGGCTTCCGAGTTAGGGTGAGTGGGAGGAAAGGTGCTCTGTGTTAGCTGTTGGACTGGTGTCTGTGGGATCCCCTGAAGCCGCTGCATCCCACTTGTTCCTGTGAGATACAGGGAAATGGGGAAACGGGCCACTGCTACCAAGCAGGAGCTGTGGGAACCGCACATGCCAGCACCGGGGCTCACCCCAGGGTGGGGCGGTGGGGCGTCCCTCCTGGCCGTGCTGGTCTGCAGTGTGCACCTCTGCCAGCCAGGCTGGCCTGCGGGAGCACGCACGTGA